ACCGTTGTGGCATACATTGGTGTTCACGTTGATGATGTCGTTGGTGGTATTCACAACAGCTTGCACTTGGTTAACAAGCGCATTAAATTCCTTCAAAGCACCGGTATTGCAGTCTTGAACAGCATCCAAGAAATCCACACCAGCAGTACGAATGGTTAGGACACGTTTAACGGTACAGTTAACACCTTTCAGCGTACGCAGGCTAGCTCTGATGGTCAAATACAAGAAACCTAAAATGGAGAATGCTTCTTCATCGGTCGTATCCTCGGCATATTCCAATGGTGTAAATTCCTCTAGTTCTTCACTTTCGATAGAGTAATCAATACCGGACTGAGGATAAGCGGCAGCGACTGCCAGGCACAGTCCAAAGATGAGGGCGAGCACAGTTACTTTCATTTTGTGTTACTTTTACGTTTGGGTGTTCAGCACAATTATGGTTAAGAGACGGCTCGCTACACGCTTTTATAGCGCTGGAAAGTAGATACTATAGGTACTAAGTAAACATATTTAAGGATTAATTTTAGTATAATTGAAAATTGATAACATTAATGTTTAATCATAGCTACCCATCAGTTGGGTTAAAAGTCTTAACATGCTTCATTAGCTTACTCACAGTTAAAAACACTTATCTTAAAAGATTAAAATTTTTTTCACAACATTTTTGTTTCACTGCTTAAGAGTATTGGGAAAAGTGACGACACTAATTACAGTCGATTGAGAGCTCTACTTTAGCAAAAGAATTTTTCATAAAAATAAAAAGCTTTTACATACATACCTAGTTTCGGCTAAAAAAGATGTCAGTTATGTTCATGGTCAATGCTTCAGATATATATGTACATATGTAAGTTAAATTGGTTCTTTCTGCAGGTAGTCTTAACATTATAATTATTACGTCGGGAATACTAGCGCTGCGTACTAAGCAGATACATATATCCAACTACTTTTAAGAAGTTAAGCAATTTGGAGGGAGCCATCTGCCAAATTTTGAATGGAGAAGACAATCGATCACCAAAGTGTATCAGTCTGGTATTCATAATACGTGGGCATTCACATAGAATATGCTCCGGGGTTGCATCCACCAGCCCAAAAAACCTGCAGTCCCTCTATACAGAAAGCCCAATTTTATTCAACTGGTTCCTTAATTTGCAGTGTCCTGTTAGGTAGCCAGTAAGAGTTCTAAGACCTTCGCTGGCTAGCAATCTGAGATTCTTCCCAGCTCCTAAGTAGTGCTGTAGAAAAGCTCGGGACCATATAAGCGCATTTGGGCTCCCCGGTTTTGAACATAGTCAGCCCTTTGGTTGCCTTTAAACCCTTCATTTCTCCCGGGTTGTTTAAAAAGTCTTCTAGCAAAGACATTCGCGACCACAGACTTCGATTGTGAAGACTTTCGCCTGGAATATGGTTGGGTATATGCCCATTGGCAAACTATTCTGGAATCTTGGTCTAAGTACGCCTGCCCCAGCAGTAGGTATACCATACTTTGAACTAGCAATCATAGTTATTATCGCCTCCCAGCAGCCGTCTCTCAGGAGTTCTGGCCTTGTAGGGTTTTTAGAAGGATACCTTCGGTAGCATTAAGTCTGTGAGCTTGATAGCTGGATCATCCAGGAATGGCTTGTAAGTATCCAGATGCGACCGATAGAGGGAGCAGACATTCCTTAGCCAAGTTAGAGCGCATGTCCAACGCACTCAAGGCGCCGATAGCCGCTTGGCTTTTAGAATAAATGCTCACCTACCTGGATGCATCGCACTGCACAGCAGTGATTTCACCGTCTCCTTGATAGCAGACACTGCCTGGAATACACTACAGCTGTCCGGAAGCTTGAACTTAGTGCTGATGGAAAGCTCTAGACAGAAGACCACATCACCAATCCTGCCAACCAGTTTCGATCCATCAGTGATGAAGTTCACTGCTCCTCCTCTCCAGAAGTGCCGCCCGCCCCAATCTTCTCTCGAGGCAAACGAGCCAGAGAAAAAGCTCCTTAGAGCCATTTCGGTGGCGCAGTGATCTATACGATAAGGGATGAAACTCAAGGCCCCTAGAACTTCAGAGTCGTCAGTCCTTAAGTTGGTCAACCAATCGGTTTCCCTGAGTCTAATAGCTGTTCGCGACGTGGCAATTGTGTGCAAGTCAACCAGCCTCTCCAAAGTTTTCAATAGAAATGATGAGACATTGATTGGCCTGAAGTGTTTGGAGGCAACATGGAAGCTCCTTCCGGCCTTCGGGATGAACACCATCTTGACAACCGTCCAACCTTTGGGAGTATAACCCTATCTTACGCAGTGCGCGTAGATAGGGGCAGCCCACGGCACGACACCTCCGAAGCTTTTTTCTATACAGGTATGATGACATCGGATCGTGGGGATTTGAAAAGTTAGAAAGAATTTATCGCCCAAGTCAGGCGACGGTCATTCAGAAGGTCAGAAAAAGCAGCACATTCTCTACGCGCTTCCCTTAAGGAAATTTCCTCTGGGGAAGGATTGAAAGGAAAGAGAGTATCTAGGAGCAAGCTCAGTGATTTCTCGCTACTCATAGTCTAGCACCCTGCCTCAGCCCTCTAGTAACCCACCGCAGCGAGAATACGCTTAAATCTAGAGGATTCATGAAACCGTTCTACGTTTTCACAGAAAGCCCATCAATAAACTTTTTTCGCCTTTCTGATCCCGGACTTGGAGCGGATATGCTCTTTCAAGAGCATCTCTGCATGCAGAGCCGAAAACTTCGACAAGATTATCTAGCGAATCCTCACAGAGTCGCTGGTACCACTATAAAGGTGAGCCCACCCAGCTACATAATTTGATGGATGCGATGCGCGTGTACTGTTCACAGTGGAGTCTAAAGGAAATCTGAGTAGGTCAAAAATTATGGTGTTTCGAAAGTGCACCAGCACCGCAATTGGCTATAGCTGGATGCATGAAAACGAACCAGTGGAAGTTGTCGAGTACAAATACCTAGGCATTTTTTAAGTTTAATTTTTCATTTCTCAGGCATTTAGGGACTGAACTGGTCAACGCAAAGGATACATATTATCAACAGCTGAAGTATTGGAGCTTTACCGGTAGATTATGCAACGCGTGATCGAAGTGTATAAATATGTAAACAATTTTCGTACATTTTTTTGGACACTCTCGTTTTTATTATAAAACGTGCTGCGCATTAAAACTTGAAATTGTTAACTAAGCTACCATTATTAATTTTTATAATAAATTAGCCTCACAACAGATGTTGGATACCGTGCTTATCATTTTTGAATGCCAAAAATACCGATGGACTACTAAAGTATGTACATAAATACATATATGTTTTGCTCGTGTTGCTGATAAATATTCTACATATATATATATAATCTACGTCTAATATTGATGAAGAAGTATTACCTCTTTTGCAAAATATTTTTTGTGAAAGCATTTAGATAACAAGATAAATATGGTAAAGTACACTGATATTGAAAAATTATGAGACAATAACCAGACTCGGCTACCGACATTTTCAGAGACCGGGTAAAATTAAACAGGAGTCCTACAGGGTTGTGTCTTTCCCCGTTGCTGTTTAATTTTTACATATCGAAGCTCTCTCAATCACCAGAGGGAGTCTCGATTGTCTCTTATACTGACGACTGCTCGATAATGGCGTCTGGGAATGGAATTGATGATTTGTGTTCGAAAGTAAACGGTTACCTCTTCAAACTTTCTCGCTACTTCACTGCAAGAAGCCTAACCTTCTCGCCCACAAAATGCTCGCCAACCCTCGTTACCACCTTCAGTCTAACCTCCAGCTGGGTATTCACGTCGATGGCGAACCAATTCCGACGGTGAATAACTCTCCTTCTCTGCGCACGTAACCGCAATTGTCAATCGAGTACAAAGCCGCAACATGGTCCTCAAGTCGCTAGCCGCCAGCCTCTGGGGCAAAGGCGAAGAAACGTTCTTGGCAACATACAAGGAAATTGGCAGGACGGTCCTAAACTATGCAGCGCCCGTGTGGTCGCCGGGGACTAGAAGGATGTAGTGGATGAAGCTACAGACTTGCTTGACACGGCACTCCGGACCGCGACAGGATGCTTAATGATGTCGCCTCAAGACAACCTTCATGACGAGGCTCAGATGCTCCCCATCAGGGAGCATAACACAATGCTCTGCAAGTACTTCCTAGTATGGTGCCACAGACGTGGGTACCCGAACGGACAACTGCTCGCAGAAGAGCCCTCGCCAAGACACGTCAGGTGACATCTCTACGAACTAACGGGCGAAGTCCAGAGGTTCATTAAATTACCTTTGGACCCAACTGCATACCGACAGGCCTCAAATGGCATTCAAAGGGAATCGGTTTGGAACTATATAGACTGCCGACCTGTGAATGCCAATTTGGGCACACAACCACCCGACATGGGCGAGACACAGCTTTGTCTCCCTCGGGAGACTCGCACCACAATAGCTCAACTTCGCACCTGAGAAGAGTGAACGCAGATGTGCCCAATGAGTGCCCCGCATGCCCACATGACTCACAGCACCTCTTCGCGCATACCCCAAAACTCCACCCAGCTAACGCCCCTGTCCCTATTAACAGACCCGTTGATGGACAAGCCGATCCGAGCGGGGTTTAGTAGCCGCTACAACAACAACACCCGCTGCAACAACAACGAGCGACATGTGTTTCGATCCCCTGAATCCGAATCTGAGGTCCGTTTCGCCCCAACCCTACCCCAAAAGACAGGGATGGTATTATGTGATAGACACGTTTTTTGCAGTTAGAACAATATCCAGACGTAATGAAGCACAACGGACTTAAGATTCGTGCTCAGCGCATAAAAATATATAGAGGTAGAGTACGAATGTCTAAAGTATATGACACCTTGTTTTGTGTCAGATGTTATATGAAGAGATCTGCTTGTGCTTTATACATAGTAAGGAATAAAACTAAGAAATTGCATGAAGTTGTTAATCGATTTTTATTAAGTTTGCATTATAATCGGTAAAATTTTAGAAAACTACAAACATATTTAATTCTTCAATTTGGAGCAAGTTTTTATGTTAGTGGGAAAATTGGTGAACACCGAAATCAAATCTGTCACTGTGGACTTAGCACATCCGGCATATTCACTTGGAGTAGATGGCAACTTTTTCGCCAAGGACACAGTGTTGGCGACCTGTTTCTTGAGTGTAATCAATTTACCTAACAACTTTGCGAAACATTTGGCTGGAGTGGTCTTCTTGGCATCCTCTTGATCGTCCAAAGCACCGTTATTGCATACATTGCTGTTCAAATGGATGATGTCGTTGGAGGTACTCACAACAGCTTGGACTTGGGTAACAAGCGCATTCAAGCTCTTTAAAGCACCAGAGTTGCAATCCTTAACATCATTCAAGAAATCCACTCCTGCAGTTTGTATGCTGAGCACTTCTTTGATGGTACAGTTAACGCCTTTTAGCGTACGTAAAGCGGCTTTGAGTGTAAAGTAAAAGAAGCCGAAAATGCTGAATGCCTCCTCATCGGCGAGCGCATCAGCGTAGTCCAAAGCAGAAAACTCCTGTGGTTCTTCGTTTTCAACAGAGTAATCGATGTTGGCCTAAGAATAAGAAAGTAGTGGAACATAAAAGGTAGTCGAGGATATTTGTGAAAAATATTGAAAATTTTCTTCTCACCGAAGCGAGTGCCAGGCACAGTCCGAGGATGACAGCGAACACAGCTACTTTCATTTTGATACTTTTACGTTTGCTTTCTAAGTACGTTTATGTTTGAAAGTGGTCGTTGCACGCTTTTATACCCGTTGAAGGTAATTTTGCAGCTAGGAAAATATAATTTTGGAATTAATTTCGGTATAATTGTGAACTGATAACACTAATTTTTATCACAACAATTTATCACCGGGGTCTTAACAGAAGTTAGTATTTGTTCGGCGCTAAATATTTGGCATAAGAAATTGTCTTAGATAGGAAGATAACTAATTAAGAATCGATCGAAAAAGTCCGGCGAATGGTAAATTACTGAAATAAAGACGCTAACACTGAAAAATTAACTTGCCAGCTAAAGAAATCGGATAGTCTTACAGTCAATGGACTAAAGCATCTACAGTGTATATATGTATTGGCTCATATCTGAGACAATAGGTCATCGATCAGCATTAAGCCGTATAGACAAATATAGACTGAGTGATAAAATTTTTTTTTTTTATTAAAAGCTTTACACGAATTTTATTGATAAACTAGCAAATACCCGGCATGTTTCGCAGCACTAAATACATCCAAAGCTGTGTAGCTAATATTGTTTTGAAAGTATTTATGAAGTAGGCAGATTTAAAAAAAATATAAACAAAAAATTGTTTCCAATTTCTAAAGCAGACAAAAACATAGCCTTTGCACGGTATAAAAACGACAAATATTGAATTGATAGTACATCTTTGAAGAAAGTGGGTGATATGTAGACTCAATTTATAAGATTATAAAAATATTCTTTCGGCTGTTGCCACGCAAGTTGCATGCGCATGAGAATTTTTTTACGTTAAATTGCCAGCGTGCGTGAATATCAGGTTGGCCTGCTAAGCATCTTTATTTTGATAAGCATATTCTAATATTTAATTTATGTTACCAATTAAATTTAATTAAAAATTTCCAACAGGTGGCAACCCTCATCAATAATATATTTGCGGCTGTAAGCCTTCTTGAACGTTTTTAGTTTGTTATCCACATTTATCATACCAATTTAACACAATTTTCAAAGAGGTAGCAACACTGCTCAAAATTATTTCAGCTGTAAGCCTTCTTAAACCTCTTTTGTTTGATACCCATATTGTAATATGTATTTAATTTATCCCACCAATTTAATTTAACTACAATTTTCAAACAGGTGGCAACTCTCCATAAAATAATTTTGGCTGTAAGCCTTCGTAAACCTTTTTAGTTTGATATCCATATTGTGATATATTTAATTTATTTTACCAATTTATGTATACTAGTGTTCGCCCAGCGGTTGAAATTCAACCGCTAAAATTAAGGATAGTTTATGTGAGTTGAGTTGAGCTGAAATAAAATTTGTTGGAATGGGTTAAGTGGAGGGGAGTTTAGCTTAGTACTTAGCATAACATAACATAGAATAGCATTAGATTCAATAACATAACATATGTAGCATAACACATCACAATATAACATCGCACATTCTTCAGTTGTATTTCCTTTTTATCCCTATCACTTTCATCCTCTCTATCTTTGTCTCTATCGCTTTTAATGTTTATGTTTATGTTTATCTACACCTTCATGTTCATGTTCATGTTCATGTTCAAGTTCAAGTTCAAGTTCAAGTTCACGTTCAAGTTCACGTCCACGTTCATGTTCACGTTCATGTTCACGTTCATGTTCACGTTCATGTTCATGTTCATGTTCGTGTTCATGTTCATGTTCATGTTCATGTTCATGTTCATG